CAAAGATATTATGATTTTAAAGCGTAAAGAAAAATGGTTCTGAAAAATAGGGGATGTCACACTGCTACATAAGCTTCTTCGGTGTGTCACACTTCCACGTAGGTTTTGTAACTGGGGATCTGTTAAAAATTAACGAAAGTGACTTAATTGACATGAGTTAATGTAACTTTTTCTTTCAAGTTTTGAAAAAAAAATGTTGAGAACGCGACAATTAAGTTAGGCCACACATTTTTTTCATTGCGACTTAACTATTTTTACATACTTGCGCGGCGGAGAAAGTAATATTCATATATAAATATGCAGCATCACCAACTTCTTTTTCCTCCCCCACCGCCACAGTTGCCGCCCGAACACCACCGTCACCTTTATCACCACCACCGTCACCTCTACCGCCACCACAGTCACCAACCACAATAATCATAAATGAATAATCATTTGTGAATAGATAATATATGAATAAATCATATGTGAATATACCACATATTATTCATATATGAATATACTTAATTTTATATTCACTTTTGAATATTACATTTCTCATCTCGTCGGTATGCTGGAACGATTAAACGGCATATGAAGAAACGTGTTCTCAACATTTTGTTATTTTCAGTTGAACCTTTCTCTCTCTCTCTCTCTCTCTCTCTCTCTCTCTCTCTCTCTCTCTCTCTATATATATATATATATATATATATATATATATATATATATATATATATATATATAGGCTTGGGTTCAACAAGGAACCATTTTAAACCTTAGAACTAAGGAACCAATATTTTCTCAACTTTTAGAACAAATTTTTCATCAAAAAAAACTAAAAATATAGATATTTATAACTTTTTATCTTCCATCCATTGATACCAAATTTGATAAAAAAAAATGATCTGTTTAGATTCACCCTGTGAAATCTGTGCAGATTCACACTGTGAATCTGTGCAGATTCACACTGTGAATCTGTGCAGATTCACACTGTCAATTTGTGCAGATTCATACAATGAATTTATACCAAATTAATGATTTATAGTGCAGATTCACATTATGTGAATCTGAACAGATAAAAAAAATAAAAATAAAAATTATCAAATTTGATATCAATGGAAAGAAAATAAAAAGTTATGAATTTCTATATTTTTAGAAATTTTTTTTGATAAATAATAAGAGCTAAAACTTAAAAAATAATGGTTCATTGGTTCTATGGTTTAAAATGGTTCTTTGTTGAACTTTTGCCTATATATATATATATATATATATATATATATATATATATATATATATATATATATATATATATATATATATAGTGTTAGGTTAATGTGAGATGGCCTAATTTTGTGAGACCGTGAGACGCAATCCTAGCCACTCATTTTGTAAATAAAAAAACATTTTTATAATGCAAAATAATTGAAATTTTTTGAAATTTTTTTTAAATATTATTTTCATCATTTATATTTTCCAAAAACAATAATAAATAAATACCGTTATTTTACATATTCTAGTAGAATATTAGAATTTTTTACATATCTGACAAATCTAGTAGAATACTAGAATATTCTAACATTCTAAAAATCACATTAGAATATTTACAGTGAGAATATTTCACATATTTTTCGAAAAAAACTGTAATTTTTATTTATTTATTTTTTATTTTTTTAGGTAAATAAAATGACGAAAATAATAATTAAAAAAAGAATTTTTGGATTTTTCCTTTTATTTTGCATTTTAAAATTATTTTTAGATTGCATCTCACGGTCTCACAAAATTAGCATGGTCTCGAATGAACCTGAACATATATATATATATATATATATATATATATATATATATATATATATATATATATATATATATATATATATATATATATATATATATATATATATATATATCCAAATAAAGTTAAGGAAAATTTGTAAAACAAATTTTGTTCAAATTTATATAAAATTTTAAAATAAGGCAAGTATCGGGTCAACTTAATACTAAAATTATGTAATCTATAAAAAAACGAAAGAGGGAACGGGGATCAAACTTGGATCTACTCTGTGGGAATAAGGTGTTTGTTTTTTTGAAACAAAAATCCATAAAGTCTGCAGACCACCTCTGCAACCCTCTGCAGTAGAAGAGGTGGACCAAACGGTTGCAGACTGTAATAAGAAGCGTGTTTGTTTTTTTAACATCTGCATGCTGCTGCAGATATTAAAAAAATAAAATAAATTGATTTTATAATCCGAAAATAATTTTTTAATACCGAAAATTTAATAATGTATGACATTTCGGCAAGAATTTATGATATTTCAGCAAAAAATAATGATATTTTAATAAAAAAAAATAAAGATATTTTAGCCTAAAATAATGATATTTCATTAACAAATTATTATTATTGAATATAAAAAAAAAGAAAAAAAATCAACAAGAATAAACAAAAAAAACGAAAAAAAATGTGAAATAAGATTTCAGCAATATATAATCAATATTTTAGCAAGAAAAAAAAGAAGAAGAGGTTGGAAGATGTAGGAAGAGACAAAACAAGTGTTACGCCAAGAAGAACACGCGCAGATGTTTTCTAATCCGAATACTTTTGAAAAACAAACAGCTGCGAGATGAAAAGTGTTGCGCGTGTTCTGCGCCGCGCAGCAGTAAGAGGTCTGAAGAGGTTTTTTCCAAAAAACAAACAGCACCTAAATGTGTTTACGGCTAGGGTAGACGCACATTTTCTATATAAAATGTCACTTGAATGTTATATTATTAGGGTGGACTGAACTATTCGGGAAGAGTTTTGGCTTGGGCTCGGTACCGCTGTTATCACCAAAATTAAAACTGCAACAACATGGAGAACCTCGTGCTCCCTCTCTCTTTATTCTATTTTTAACTTGTACTATATCCATTAAGATTTGTACCAAAGTGTGTGGGGTAAAAGGTTTCATTTCAAAGTGTTTAGGGTTTGGAGGGTTAAAAGTGATGTGAGAAAGAAAATTTTATATGGCGACTTTTTGACATGAGGGTTGGGAATGATGGATTCCGGCAACCGTTACTATATGGAAGTTAATGTTCATGACAGTTTGGTAACTTTAAACGTTATATAACGACGGGGAGAATAAGTTAGTAGATAGTTGTTTGAATGCTATCAATACATGTTTTAGGTTACATTGATCTTTTACGACATAAAACTTTATAATTATCGAATTCGAACCTCATAAACCTAATCATATATCTCGATTATAGCGGAAAAAGACATGGTTCATAAGCGCAAGAGAGCATACAAGATGATTAGGTGACGTGTAAGAAGCTTATAGATACTGATTCCGAGCCAAAAAACTAAAAGATTTGATTATGAATTTGTGATCGAAACGTGGCGTATTCAACTTTTGAGATAAAACATGGTAGGGGTCGTGAGTAGTGACAATGGTCAGGGGAGGTACACTATTTTTTGATCGCTTGTAGTCAATAATAAGAGTGAATGTGTTGGGGGTAGTGGTGGGGATGGTTGTGTCTTGTGTGTGTGTTGGCACACAATGCTGTATTTTAACCCCACATGTTTCTTACAAGTACGTCTGCTTTAGATCAGTACAAAACCACAGGGAACAGAGTTTAAATTATTTGTGGTTATTTCTTATTTTGTTATATCAAATGGACGTGTTTGTTTTTTAAAGATGGGAAATGTCAGTTATCAAGATGAAGACATGTTTGAACAGATTGGTTATTTTGTCAAAATTGACGATTAAAACCATTTGGATTTTAATTGGTTTTTATTCGTATCAGTATACTTCAAAAGGGCCATCATAGTTTGCAAGAATAGTATAGATTATTGGTCGGTAGACTAAGAAAATGGCAAATACTAGTAAATATTATATAAATAGTCAATAGACTTTAAGATTTATGTCAAGTGGAATGTTGCAATAGTATATAGTAAACACGACCCACTGAGCCACGTGTAATTATATTAAAACCATCAAACCCATATCTCGGAGTGAATTACAAAAAGGTAACAAACAGGTATCGTCGGTAAAACTAATTAAAATTGGGAACTTTTATTTGTGTACGCATGTTCGGTAAAATTAGATGGAAGATTTTAAACTTTCAGAGCTTCATAAAAGAACTTATCTTAAAACGTCATTGATTTTAAAAAAGGGTAACTAAGTTAATTTACAACATTATAAGAGTTTTTTTTATTAAACGCAACAAGTAGCTTTCGGATTTAAAGCTTTTTATTTTAGTCTGGAACTTTTATTTGCATGTGGAACACACCAAATCCAATGTATTTGTAACCAATTTATCAATTAAACTTTCAACTTTTTCTTTCTGGTTTTTAGTTATTAAGTTATTACACCTTAATCACTAGGGAAGCATGGGAGGACATGTATGTTTTTTCTTGATCAAAACCAAAAAATCAAAACACAATATAATCATAAGCTAAAGCGGTTGAGAACTTGATTGGTGAACAAAATACATGAAAGTCGACCAAAGAGATGAAACAGCAACGAATGATATAGTAAAATACTTATAAAAGCAAGCTAATAAGCGAAAAGCTTTTAAAATAACTCGGTGGAAAATGGCAAAGCATGAGAAAAGTCTTAACCAAAATTACCAAAACGACATCCTAAATTGCAACTCAGATGTGAACTCGATTTCTCGTTATGTCATATTCCCATACTATATATCATATATGACCAAACATAATACTATTTTCCTATATAATTCCAGCTGTCTAAATTAATGTGGGTCCCACTAAATAGCTTCTTACAGTTTGGATGAACCCATGGGTTGGGGTTGGACCAGCACACCGCTGCTGCCAACTATATCTGGAAACATTGAATAAAAATTAAAACGTCTTTAGGGCTCGCTGTTTCTTTTTTACATATTTCCACTTCTTTTTTCTCATAATTCATAAATGATGAATACAATGAAATTTGTCTTTTTTAAATATAATGGTAAAATTGGTCACTTAATCTCATTCATATGTCTAGAAAAGAAACGGACTCTACATATACAATACTTAATCCATACATGCATCATTACTCATTCAACTACTTTACCAAATACTATACGGATACATGAGTTAATGAGAAAAAGAAAAAAGAAGAAGAATCTTACTCTCAACACCTCCCTTAACAGATATATCACCCCAATGGTTTCATCATGTCTCACATGCTCTACACTTATCACATCAAATGTTGGGTTTTACCTCTTACAATCACATTTTAATAGTTTCAAAAAATAACCCAAAAAAAAAAAAAAAAAACTTAAGAATCACATGTTGTCATAGGACTTGATTCTTCAGATGACTTCTCATAGGTTTCCATGTCCATTGTCATAACATCACTCACATCAGCCTCCACTTCTGTCATTACTTCATCCCTATCTACTGCAGTCACAGGTAGGACTCCATTTTCCATCACCGCATCAGATTCCACTTGTGGATTTGGATTTGGAATTGAATTTGGATTTGGATTTGGATCCTCGGTTACTTTGTCAAGTCCATTTGGTGTTGTTATGAGAGATTGTGGATCAGGATCGGTTGACATGGTCAATGTTGATGTCACAGACAAATTCTACAAACAAGGTTAACAATAAATTAACAAAATTTGCAATCTCATAACTCATAAATGTAATTAAAGACTCTTACCTTTTCTAAGGCAAGAGCAAGCTTTGATAGATTTGGATACAAACTTCTTGCATCCAATATGATCTGTTCATATAAAAGACGTAAATGCCCTTCTCATAATCCTCATTATATGGAATGTTTATTACAAATTATAGCATAATCACCTCGGATAACCTTTGTAGGGTAAATGGTGGACCATCAACAAAACTATGAAGGGCTGAAAAACATAATCAAGAAATGGAAATTCATCATTAGCGAAAAAGAAAAATGTAAAATTCTTAATTAATAAAAATGACAAGGTACATGATTGCGGAAATACCATCATCCAACCTTTTCACCAACTCAGCATGCGTCTCCCCTAATGACACTTTTTGTTCCTCTATTGTCACTTTTGTTTGTGGATACTCAGAAATAACCTGTAGCAACAATTCATATAAACATAATAAAACTTGTCACATTCAAGTCAATGATGCATCCAAAACTTGTTTAAGTTTGTAAATTGGCATACCTCCCCATACCTGCTTTAAATGAAGAGACAACATGCTTCTCAGTTTCTCCCAATCATGACTGCAGTGTCACATATGTAAAATTAATAATACTAATCATAATTCATTAAGATACAGGTGTTGTTGAATTTGAGAATTGAGATATAAGGATTAGGTTGATAACAAAATTTGTAGCATACCAGAACTTTCCAGTGGCTGCAATGACTTTTAATATGCTCCTTATTTCCTCTCCTTCTTCAGCAGTCTCTTGCCTCATTTCTATAACCCTGGGGTTTAAACTTCAAAGGCTTATAAGTTGTTTACCACAGTTATAATGTTATGGTGAAAAAAATAAGGTAATAAAACACTCACTGGTGGTTTTCAGGAGAAGCAACCAAGTTATCATGATGACTATTATCAGTGGCTACAGGAGGTATGACTGATTGCTCTATAGTTTCAGTTGTCTTTGTTTCTGTCAAAGGGGGAAGGATTGATTGCTCCAAGGTTTCAGTTGACTCTGTGTTTGTGACAGGTGGCGGGGTGGAATCAGTATCATCTGAGGGTTCAGTTGCATGTGTGTTTGTAACCTCAATCAATGGTGTTTGTGTCTCCTCTAGGCTTTCAGTTGTCTGTGTGTTTGTAACCTCAGGCAAAGAAGCTTCACTTTCCGGCATGTTTGTCACCGGAGGTGGTGGCAGTGGCGGCTCGGATGTTTCAGTTGTCTGTGGGTGAGCAATCACAGGTGGTGTTAATTGTTCCAAAGTCTCAGTTGTCTCTGTGTTTACAACTGGAAGTGAGGTTGGATTCTCTGAAGTTTCAGTTGTCTGTATCTCCATTATTGCATACACCTAGAAAAAATGGTCACAATCATCATTGGGGAACATCTTAACAACATATATGGGAACGTTCTTGTCCAAAAGATGAACAAATATCACAAAGATTCAGTTTAAAAGAAATAGAGATTTATAAACATCTCCTAGGATGCCGTTCAAACAAAAAAACTCCATCCAGTGTATTCATTTCTAACCTAACGCTTTCTGAAAACAAAATTTATGTACGCAGATTACATAAATGTTTTACACAATCAGCTCCAAGAACTAGTGATATCTCAATTTACGAATCTGCTAACGTAATGTAGTCCCCTAATTAAAGGATTAACCAATCTGTAAGGAAACAAAATTACTCGCACGATGCGTTAGCTTTTCTCCTATTGAATCTATAGTTAGTTGCTGTAAAGTTTCATATTATTGTCACTTATAGAATGTCTAGAATCGACGGCAGTTTAGAATCGGAAGGTAACTGGTTTAATTTAATTAGAAAAGAAAAAAAAAAATCCAAAACTTACTTCTTCTACCAAGGCAAATACAGTAACACCAACAGTAACGTATGAAAACTGGCACGATTCAAGTACAGCAATCCTCGAAATTAGGTATTTAGATCTACGAATATCGAGCTCGAAGCATATAAAATGTTTACAGTTTATCTTTATACTACTATTACACACACAAAACGTATATTTTAAGCATGAAGAGTATACCTGTATCACTAAACCGCCGATTCAGAGCAGATCGCTTGCTAGATATTAGGGAGGAAGGCGTTTGGGGCGGAGGATGGTAGTGGCGACGGGAGAAAGATGGTTAATTAGAAGGCGGCGTGAGGAGTGCTAAGGGCAAGGCTGGATGACCATAGATTCGGGTCGATTGGGCGTTATTTTATTTATTTTTGTTTTCCATTTTTATTTGACCTTTATTCAAAATAATTAACGTTAAATATGATTATTAATTGTTCAAAATATTTCTCATCATATCTAGAATTTAGGAAAGTATAAAAATCGGCTATTAATTAGTTTTTTTTTTTTTTTTGGTAAGATTTGAATTCAACTTAAACATCATATTTTTTGTAATATACTTACTACCTTTGAGATATTTAATAATTATGAAATATCAGGCATCTATAATGGGAATTGAATGAAAATTCAATAAAATAAAATTGAATATAATATAAAAGAAATACAGATATTGGAATTTAATCGGGTTTAATAGAAATTTTAAAAGAAAACTATAAGTTTTTAAAAAACTAAATTAAAAATAGAAAAAACATCATAAATGGTCCCTGTGGTTACCCAAAATCTGAAGTTTAGTCCCCGTAGTTTAAAAACCTCATAAATGGTCCCTGTGTTTTCAAAAATTTTGATGTTTGGTCCTTTTTGCTAACTCCGTTAGCTTTCTACCGTTAAATGAATGGTATTTCCGTCATTTAACTATCCAGGGACCTTTTATGAGGTTTTCTTTTATTTTATTTTTTTTAAAGAAAAAAATAATTAAATTTAATATCCAATGGCTCTCTCTCTCTCTCCCTCTCTCTCTCTCTCTCTAGAACAGACAATAAGATAAACAATCATAAAATGGCAGATAGTTTCTATCCAAATGAAATGTCAGAGTTCATCAAAGAAGAAGACCCACCTCCACCTAAAACCACCACAAATCCCGTAACAAAGACTCTATCTTTTCCTTACAACCTATTTTCCGATCAACTCAAACGAGCAACCTTTGACCTCAAACAAATTGTATTTTCTACTTCTTTATTCCCTTAATTTATGTTTTCTCCCTTTCTTCCTTGTTTTCAAAGTTTACAAAGTTTACAAAGTTACACACAGAGAAGAAACAGATAAGAACATGAAACCAAGAACCACAAAGAACATGAAAGACCTACCCCTTTTCGTCTCTTTACCTGAATCAAACTTTATTTCCCTTCTATCCTCTCTTCATTCACACAAACACAACCGATTTCAGTTTGATTCAAATTTAAGGCTCCGATTCAGACTTCCCCTCTACCGCCACCGGAGAAAACACAATCCATAAACGAGGTCACAATCAGCTATGCTTCTTAGATGCGTGCGTCTCATGCGTGTCCTGACAAGAAGAAGAAACAGCTGCCCTTTTCTACGACTTGTTCTTAAACGAATCAGGCAGCAAAAATCACAGCTCCCTTCAATCTCTTTTCGCCTAAATCGATCGATCTCTCATATATTTCTATATTTCCCAAATCACACAAGGATTGGTCCTCCTTATCTAATTGATCACAATCCTTCCCTCTTCTCTCGAATTTGATGTTGCAGATCTATCATTCTAGGGTCAGATTTGGTGTTGTAGATGTAGACAATGGACCTTGATTCGAGATTTGTGTGTAAGAATGGTCACCGGTGGTAGTGGGTATGAAGGTGGTTGTCGGTGGTGGTAGATATGGCGTTCGTCGGAGGTGGTGTGTAAGAAGCCAATCACAAAATGTAGGCTATGATGGTTGATTCAATGCTTTCCAGCTTCCACATTCTTGGAGAGAGAGAGAGAGAGAGAGAGTGTGTGTGTGTGTGTGTGTGAGTGTGTGTGTGTAAGTGAGTGAGAGTGAGAGAGAGAGACCTTTTATATATTTAATTATGTTTAATTATTTCTTTTTTTAAAAAATACGAGAAAACATCATAAATGGTCCCTATGGTGGTGAAATGACGAAAATACCCTTCAGTTAAAGGACAAACTTAACGGAGTTAGCAAAAAGGACCAAACATCAAAAGTTTTGAAAACACAGGGACCATCTATGAAGTTTTTAAACCACGGGGACTAAACTTCAGATTTTGGGTAACCACAGGGACCATTTATGATGTTTTTTCTTAAAAATATATATTATCTGTCATATTTGACATTTCATTCAACTCTTCATTGGTTGAATGTATTGTAGATGTTATAAATAAATTCAAACGGGATTAGATGAGACTGAAAAGTGTGAAAACAAACATATGAAAATTTTGAAATATGGAAAGGTATCGTTCATGGAAATATATAGGTAAGTCGTCGTGATTTCATATTATCAATCGAGTTCTATATATATTCACAAGACTATAAAAGTGTTGCAAAAGGTCATTTGTGTGTTCTTTGGGGTTATTTATTTATCGGTATGAATAGTCATGAAATACGATTTAAAGAAAAATTATTATCTATTTGAATTTAGGTATCCGAAATCAATCCAAAGAAATATAGAATTGTCATGCTTTAGAAATAAAAAAATTATATTGTGATTTTTGTATTGGGACATTAATTAGGCTATCCGGTGTGGGTGAGTATCCACACGTCTTGGGCTGACGTGGTTGGGCTCCCCACGCGTGAACACCGCCCTCAACTCCGATGGGGTGCGTGTGACGTGGCTCCGAAGACAGGACGAGACAATCAATGGGGGCGTTTCGTTTGTAACGGCTGGATTTTTTGGGACAAACGGCTCTCTTTTTGACCGTTTACGAAAAAAATACTATATTTTTTAAAATTTAAACACAATCAACTTCACCTATAAATTACCCATTATTCTATTCACATTTTACACTTCAAAAAACACTCTCTACATTTTATTACCTTCTACAAAACACTCATCAAACACTCCAAACACTCCAAATGCAAATGTTAGATACATGCAATTATTAACATCCTCAATCCAACAACAACCTCTATTCACCATTTCATACCCCCCCAAACTTCTACCAACAACAACCACAACAATTCAATCAACCCCAATTCCAAGCCTTTCAACAACAACCTTCTCAACAATTTCAACAACCTTTTCAACAATTTCAACAACAATCTTTTATACCTCAACAATTTCAACCATCTAAATTCCCATTATCTCAATCTCAACCTATAAACCTCGACAATGACGACGACGACGAACGGGTCCAATAAACACAACAAACAACTCGTCGAAGGCAAAAAAAAACTATCGCGTGGAACGAAGACGAGGGGGAAGCTTTAGTGAAAGGTTGGATTTTCATATCGCAAGACGAGGATGTCGGCAACTCGCAAACGGGTCAAAGTTTTTGGTGTCGTAATGTAGACCACTTCCATGCGTTATTAGGAAAGAAAACAGAGCGGACGTACGACTCGATCAACGCAAAATGACGTGATTTACGAGCGGCCTGCACCAAATTCAATGGCATATTTGACAAACTTAATAATATGCATAGAAGTGGTAGCAACGATTTCAACATTTTAGCAACCGCGGGCTACGAATACAAAATTACCACCAATGGTAAACCGTTCGGCCACCAAAAAGCATGAGAAGTTTGTCGTAACGGTCCAAATTGGGTTCTATATCCAGAAACGGCATGTAAGTCTTTTTATATGTTGTTATAGTTATGTGACTAAATATACTGAATTTGTTAGAAATTGTAGGTGCAAATAGGGTGTTTTCTACTTACGAATGGGTTTCAAGATATTCAATATGGTTAATCCTTAAAAATATTTTCAGTTTTGGGTTACTAATTAAAGAGTATATGGAATATTCAAAATCTTGACAAAGTGCTAAAAGTTGTGTTTTAAACATCTTTAAAAGAGAACCTTAAATTCTAAATTGAAAAAAAAAAAAAGCCCTTAATTGCATTTTACTCCTTAGCTGTCCACCTTGGGATCGTTTTGCTGACGTCATCTTACACCAAAATAGGCACGCTTATCGCATTGTAACGTCCTTCTTACATTTCATTCCTAGGTTCTTTGAGAAAACCGCCACCGCTACCGCCTCTGCCTCTACCTCTTTGTCTTTACCTCCATTGAAACAAACGAGTGGATATTTCCTCATCCACTCTCCTTTGTTCGTTCGTCGGAATCAGAAGGGCAGGCAATCAAAATCGGAGGTACTTCTCGCCGTCCGTCATCTCCATCGCCATCGAACGCTAAATCCTAACCGCTAGACCGCCTTACATTGTCTTCGATCATCTGAACTCTTTCTGCTACATCAAACTATCCGGATGGAATCGAAAATCTCAGGCCGAAAGGGCCGGCATCGACCAATCATCGTACAAACGAACGATCTACTTAGGTATGCACCACCGCACTACGACCGTTTTCCCCTTCCACCATGGCGCCGCCGACGTCTATCTCTATGCCATCTGTCGCATACCAAAAGACGGTGATGCTGCTGACGGACTTTCAGGTAATCAAATCATCTGCTGCTGTTTCTACCTCTTTTCTTTCTTCGATTAAAAACTTGAGTTATAGTTTGGTCATATCGATATCTTAGGGTTTTTTGCATCTGGGTTGGTGTTGGAACTGAAAAAAAAATGGTGGGTATGTTGATTTTGTTTCTCTTTATTGATCGATTTCTCACATTATTATGCTTCTCTATTTTATTTCACCAGATGTTGATCAAGAACTAATTTGAAACCGTTCTCTGGTCCAGTTTCCATAGTTGACAGATGAAAGGTGCAAATATGAAGAGTTAAAGTTGGTTATGCTAATTACATCACCAGACCTATGAAGGTTACTGGATTTGAGGCTACTTCTATGCTTATTAGCTCAGATACATATAAGTATCTTTTATTGTTTTTTACTTGATTATTGGTCATTTGTCTGATTTTAGGATAAGTTATGCAGAATAGTTGTGGAAAACGTTGGTATATAAATAATTACTCATTTATACTGATGAATCTGATGCACAAGGGAACAAAATTATGGATAAAGTTTGATACTTACTGTTGACCATTCTGTTTTCAAGAGGTAAAAGATATAATAATCAATTATTGTTTTTCTTTGATAGTGAGTTGGAAAATCCAGCCATCAAAGACCTTTAACTCTATATGTATGTGTCTGTGTGTTTGTTTAACTCTATGTGTTTGTTGTTTTGTTTATTAATGCGTAATTGTGTGTTTAACAACAAAGTTCTAAAAATAAGGAACTGGAATCTCAACTATCTTGCTTGGATTTGGTGTTAAATAAAGCTTCACCAACAACAATTATCTTGCAAGACTTTTAGAAATCATTACTTTTTTTCACAATTACACCAGCTTAGTTTTACATGTTCCTAAAAACATAAATTCCATTTAACTAATTTATGTTACCATTTTTGCTGCTTGGTGGTGTTGTTGACTAATTTACCCTTTTGTGAAGTGATTATAACGTGTGCTTTTGTGATATGTTTTTTTAATAAATTTCCAGATACCCACTTTGTGCATTGAAATGGCATCCAAATTGTCTTTTTTTTAGGGTTCTTCCGAGGTACAACGTATTCTGTTTAGGGTTAAATTGAAACAAATAGCAACGGACTTTCTCATAAAAAAGTTGAAAGTAGTGATGTTTTTTTTCATTTTTTGTACGTTTGTTCTATAATAAATGTATATGAAAAACATAACTTTAAAGTTTAGTATTTATGTAAACTTGATTAGTAGGTAAAAAGACATCAACCTGGTTGATTTATTATCAACTTATTTTAGATCCGGAAGAAAAGGCCTTCCGACCCATACGAAGTGAAGGATGAGTCCATTTATTAGTTTATACTATAATTTTGAAACTAGATTATAACCCGCGTTAAACGCGGGGAACACATAATAATTAAAAAAATAAAATTTATGTGGAACAGATGAAAAAAACATAAAATTTTAAATCAAAAGAAATTACTTGTCAAATAAATCCATAAGCAAACAATAAAAACTAATTTTATTATCAAGATATGCTATTGCCATGCTAGAGGGAAATTGTTAATTTTCCAGAGCATTCTTCCCTCACTTGGTTTTGGTCGTTTGAGGTTGCGTGGAGATGATCTTCGTTACCATCAAGATATGCTATTGTCAAGCTCTACACACAGAATCAATCATACCAAGAAACTGGAAACTACATATCTGTGACATGTAATGGAAAAATTGCATTATTTGAGGCTATTAATTTTATTACAGTTGCGACTCCATACCTTGGTTCAAGAGGACATGGACAGGTAATCTAAACATTGTAAAGTGTTGTTTTCAGATTAGATTGGATTGGACATAAATAATATTACTGTATAATCATAAATCACCCCCCTTTTGGATTTGATAAGTTATAGTAATTGTTAGTGGTTTCAGGTCCCAATGTTCTTTGGAGTTAAAAGCCTTGAGAAAATAGGGTACCACAGTTCAGTGGTGGTTAGAAGAACAAGGAGACATCTATACTTGAAAGACAAGGCTAATGGACACACCCCTCTCTTGGTTCAGATGGCCAATGATTCAGAACACCTAAAGTTCATGCAAGTCTTTTTAGGATGTTAAAGGTATTCAGGATCTACTGGCGGTTCCAACAAAAGGGCAAGAACGTCCGAGTCGGACGTGGGTTTTAGACTCGACCTCAACGATGACTTCGACGCCACCGAGGGGGAGGGTCCACCGGACGTCCAACTTCGTCGACCACCGGGAAGGGACAAAGCGAGAAAGGGAGCGTCTTCAAGCGGAAAAGCACCCGCAACTAGCGAGATGGGCTTGCGGCATCCATAGATAAAGCTCTAGTTTTTCTAGAAAAAAAATACGAAACAACGGAGGTAGCTCGTCGCCAAAAAATAGCTCTTATTGATCTTCAAATCATAAACACAAAGCCCCAACCGGATATCGTCCCGAAAAATCTTGCGACGTTTCTTAAAATTCAAACGACAAGTCCGGGACAAATATGGAATTTAGGTTCTAATATTTATGGTTTTAACTTTAAATAATTTAGGATTTTAATTTTTTTTTATGTTTTTTTAAGAATTTTAGGGTTTTAATTTGTGTCAATGTAATGTGTTTTTAGTTTTAATGTAATGTGTGTTTTTTATTTAAATTATGTTTTTTATTTAAATTATGGTTTGTATTTTGTTTTTTTATTTAATATAATGTTAAAAAATAATAAAAAATACAAAAATGCATTTATGTAGTTGTAACTATTTCCAATATCTAGTGGGTTGGCGGTGAAGCTGACATGGCGTAGAAGTGGCATCACATTTTCGGTAGATTGGGTGTGACCACTCCACACAACCTTATAGAAAGTTAACTTGATTAACAATGGAAAATAACTTTCGTGGTTTTCATTTTGACCAATAGATATGTAGATTTAAATTTTCAAAAAAAAAAAATAATAAATACATATAATCTGACTTATCTAAGTCATAACAATTTCCCAAAAACTTGACGATGTTTAACATGCATGAGCGCAACGGAAACACTTACACTTACCATCATATTGATATTGTTATTGTATAAGTAGATTATATATAGATGTTACAAAAACTATAGTTCCATACTTCGAAATAATCCACAATCTTTGTAAAGTTACATCTCTTTCTAAGGTTACTCTTGAAAATGTTTTCGTGTGTCTTCACCTTCCATTAGTATCGTATGATACCGTAAGTATGGTTCACATTTCATTAGTATCATATGATACAATCAAAAGTGTAACGCCCGTAGATCCGGGCTAGTCAATTTAGAGACGATAAGCATCAAAAATGACTTTTTGATGGAAGATTATTTAGAAGGATTAATCTTAACCAAGTTGTAGTATATGTCTCAAGGTTTCAAAATATATAAAGAATGCCGAAATCCGAGTTATAACGAAGAAGTTATGACTTGTCGAAGTTTCGCGACAAACCGACACGGTGTCGAATGTCGTAAAAAGTGAGTTTTCGATAAACTACTTTTTAGCCTTAGTGATCTAAACGAAACTTGTAGTGTTCGTTAAACCGAGAGTAGGTATAAAAAGAACGCCCAAATCTGACTTCGTATGAGGAAGTTATGATTTTTCGAAGTTTCAGCTTAGCAGTAGACAACTAAAAACTCGAATTTTAGATCGAGTGAATTTTAGCCAACACAACCTAAACGAGAATCGAAGGTCTCGTCATTTGTAGTACAACGGTAAAAAGTCTGACGAAAACGGACGTCGGATGAAGAAGTTATGAATTTTTAACGGATTTCCTGTCCCGGTCTGTTAAAAATAATAATATAAAAATTAAAGTCAAAATTACCCGACGAAGTCTAAACGAAAGTTGTAGAGCATAATTTTACCTACGCGTGCATATAAAGAACGTCAAAAACGGAGCTCGTATGCAAAAGTTATGGATTTTAGAAGTTTTGGCGCGAAAACCGAGAAATTTCACATAGGTGGCTTCGGCCACGTCACCCTTCGCATGCAGCCTCCACGTGGCATCTTCTGATTGGACCGCAGCCTCGCATGGCACCCGCTGATTGGTCCGAAGTCGTCACCCGCTTTCCCCATTGGACCGAAGCTCGGTCCACTTATGAGCTTGCATCTGTCCGAGCCGGAGACCCAGCCGATGACGAGTCCGAAGCCGATGACTCCTTGCGTCCGAAGCCGATGACTCCTCGCATGGAAGCGCGCCAGCTGCTGCATCCGAGCCTCGCTGGCCTTTGCTGCTTCTGCCCCGTGTCCGAACCCCTCGCTGCCGCGTGTCCCTTCTTGGCCGACCTTCGGATTTCCCCTCCTATAAATAGGAGACTTGCGAACCCTCCCCGGTAAAAATGGGATTTTGCCATTTTTGACCCCTTTTTCCATATTTTTACTATCTCGACATCCCCCGAAGCCCCGGTACTTATTCCAAAGCCCGAAACACGGCCCCGAGATTCCCGAGAAGCCCGAAAAATTTATCTTTTCGGTTTCGAAGCCCGACCCTTCGCAGAGCCCGGTTTCTCAATAAAACTCCCCGTTTTATTAGAAACGATCGTTTTAGGAAACGAATTGCTGCCCGATTTTCATTAAATCAGGTGAGTGTGTAGTCACTTTCATCTTACACATAAATATGAAGTATTTTATATAAAATACGTGATATGTGTATATATGTTGTTTGTTTTTTTTTGAGATGGATGTTGAATGAATGTTTTATACATGTTTAAAATGATTTAAAATTTATATATATTTTATCTTCAAATATGTTGGGTAAAACATGGGTACATAAAGTATGAGGGATAAAAGTACAGTATAGATGTACGTTGGTAGCTATGAATTTAGTACAATATAGATGTACGTTGGTAGCTATGTATTTAGTACGTTGGCAGCTATGGACTTAGTGCCTGTTGTATAAACCCTGGCGACTATGAGACGTAGTGCCTATTAGATAAACCCTGGCGACGATGTGACTTCGTGCCTATTAGATAAACCCTGGTGACGATGTGACTTTCTGCCTATTAGATAAACCCTGGTGACGATGTGACTTCGTGCCTATTAGATAAACCCTGGTGACTATGAGACGTAGTGCCTATTAGATAAACCCTGGTGACGATGTGACTTCGTGCCTATTAGATAAACCCTGGCGACTATGAGACGTAGTGCCTATTGTATAAACCCTGGCGACTATGAGACGTAGTGCCTATTGTATAAACCCTGGCGACTATGTGACGTAGTGCCTGTTGTATAAACCTTGGCGACGATGTGACTTCGTGCCTATTTGACATAAATTGCTGAGGGAAAGCAATGTTGTCACCCCCGATGTTTGTTTTATTTGACATAAATTGCTGAGGGAAAGCAATGTTGTCACCCCGATGTTTGTCTTATTTGACATAAATTGCTGAAGAAAGCAATGTTGTCACCCTATTGGTTGTCTTATTTGACATAAATTGCTGAGGAAAGCAATGTTGTCACCTTATTGGTTGTTTTATGTTAGGTTGTCTTGTTAGACATAAATTGTTGAGGAAAGCAATGTTGTCACCCTATTGGTTGTCTTATTTGACATAAATTGTTGAGGAAAGCAATGTTGTCACCTTGTTGGTTGTTTTATGTTAGGATGTCTTGTTTGACATAAATTGTTGAGGAAAGCAATGCTGTCACCCCTAATGAAAATCCTTAGGCTAGGTCCCTTGTGATAGTTGTTTTAGGGACGTAAGGTGAGGATAACAGGAATGGGTAATTAGGGTTGTTTTTGGTTGATGAAATTAATAAATTATTTGTTGATTGATAAACTTAAAGAGTTTATTATTTATTGTGGGTTGAAAACCCTATATGCTCACCAGGCTTCCAAGCCTGACCAACTTAGCTTTTTATATTACAGGTAGTGGACCCCGAGCATAGTCGGATGATGACAATGAGTGATTTTTGGATTATAGGCCAGTAGTTGTAAATAACTGTGTAAGGCTTATAATGTCTTGTTTATGCTTTTGATATGTATCAGAACATGACATCCCGATGTTTTGTTATGAAATATATATTTCTTAAAGAAAGGTTTTGATAAACTTTTATCATGTTTTGTTTTGGGGACCAATTCCGCAACATCTTTTAAAAAGATTTCTCTGATTTTATTTTAAAAAGCATAAACGAAATCGGTCTTTTCTGGCCGTGAAATTGGGGATGTCACAGTTGGTATCAGAGCATTAGTTTAAGCGAACTAAGAAATTATAGGATTTCTAGACTTAAACTTAGAATGCTAAGTGATGATTGTGAGATGAGTGTCTACCATATTTTAGACACGAGCACTAGTTTATTTTAGGAAGGATGCCTAAAATGCTTTTTATGTGCTAAATGTTTTGTGTTATAGCTATAATGATGCTATTATTTGTTCGGATCTATGGTCTGTTGCCGACCGGATCTGGAAACCTTATGTGTGTAGGATTATAAGCGTATGATTACGAGATTAGAACTAACATGTAAACATTTCAGAGTGATAAGGAGATTTATACGTCTATCGTAAATAAAGCTTTCTTATCTTAAGTTCTCGCCCAGTACACCGAACGTCTGCTTGGGTGTACAAAACATTATGGTGAAGACTCGTAGAGAATTGAGTAGATGGAGGAAATGAAAAGCTTATGATAGTGAATGATACCTATCAGAAGGTATCATAAGAGTGGTATCTTGCCTTTAGAATATGTCTAATAAAATAACGGAACGTTTAGAGGGGTACGGTACGTCTGAAGTACACCTCCGATTGGCAGGATGATGAATGGTTGGTGTAATTCTTGAAATTGTCCCATTGTCTGGAATTTCCATCACCAACCAAGTTGAAGTAGAATTGATGATTGAAGATACTCGTGGAAGAAGTCCTAGTAGAGTCTAGGAAAATTTTATGATTAATTGGACACATTCGTATGTGTTAAATTGTTTTGTGATTTTAGGACTTGGGGACTGCGAGACAGTACTTGGGACGAGTATGAGTAGGTGTGAATAGTAGTAGATATCTATACTACTGGAAGCACATGACTCATGCTTGGATCAGGGAAAGTCACAAGGTTACCAAGAAACTAGTGATTGATTCCGTTTTATTCGGATATGTCATTACCCTTGTTTCGGTAATGACTACTAA